TGCCGAACTTGTATTAGAGTAGAAGGTCGCCAATTTGAGCATATTTTATCAATAAATGAATAAATTTTTCTTCAAACAACTCATGTATATTCTATTTCACGTGAACCCATCCTTCACAAAAAATATTGATAGATATAGCCCTTGTTACTGACTCTAGTTCGAATCCCGGTAAGTAACATAAAATAATGTCAGAAGCAAGTAATTATGTACCTTTGTACTATTTAGCATGTCATTTGACGGTAACAAGAGCAAAGTCAATTTAAATCTATTAAATACATTCTAGCGTGTCTCAGTCCTTTACCCACAAAAGCGGCTATAACTTTTTTTTTTCTATTCAAAACAGTAAGTGTGGCACCTTGCTAAAATCTTTATTAAATGAGCAATTTTTTTATGTAATGTAAAGTTATAGCTCAGTACATTTTTTTCACCCGAGATAGTCAAAGTTGGGGAAGAAAATATAAAAAAGTTAAAAATCCAGAAATAGTCCTAGTTTTATGATGCTTCCTTAATATATATGCATTTGAGTATGGAGAGGCAACTATCTGGAAGTATTTTACATAAAAAATTTACTAAGTATTGCTCGGTTTGTTGTTGCAGTTAAAGAAAACACATGAAAAGACAGGATTTTTTTTAAATTCGAAAAAATGTAAATATTTTAAAAACGGTGACACTTTTACCTGAAATTTTTTTGTTTATCAGTAATGTCTGCTTTTTGGTTGTTGTTGTTTCCGACAGGGTGGGTGTATGATGTATTATGGAACGAATTTCCGTCATCCCTTGTCAAATTTGGTTTGGAGACAAACCGGTTTCGGCGTTGTGCCATCTTCAGTGTCATTTTTCGTTCTGTCATCAATTGACTTTATTTCGCATCAGGGTGGGAAATAAAGTTAATTGACCTTATTTCCGTTGATCTTATTACCTGTCACCTAAAAATCAACGAATAAATAATTAAAACCTAATTCTTCAAATGTTTACAAAAGATCGCAATAAAAATGCAAATCAAAATTCTAAGATTTTTGTTTTATTTAATATGTAAATATTTATTGAATCTTTCTTTCAAAACTAACGATAAGTTTTCAAATCTTACAAACTACCATTAATTTAGAATTTTATTTTTTTTTACATACCTACGGCTCATTCCACAGAGACGGGTGTGGCCTTTCAACTCACATTTTAAGGCTTAATTCTTAAACTGTAATATAAAATTCTTTAAAACGAGTATTTTCTAATAGGTTGCCGAGATGTACACAATGCCTAGAAAAAGAATTTCAAAAACAATTAATCCAAACGAGTAATATGAATTTTAGTTACTGTGACGGGTGTGACGAGTACGCAAACGAAATTAGCAACTGCTTACTTTTATCAGAGTTTTTCTGTTAATTTTGTATTCCGCTTATGGTTTTAAATAGCTCGTTGTATAGTTAAATAAACATTCTCAACATTTACAAATTTGCATACCTCTATTGGAAATTATAGATTATATGTTCCAAAATCAACTGTAACGGGTGTGGCTTGACTTTGTGGCGGGTGTGACAAATTGAGCATGAATACACAAATACATATTATTAGAAAACTAAACTGGCTTTATTTCTCAAAAAATCGGATTTTACGAACACATAAAATATTATACCACCTAAAGACGGGATAATCATTGATCGGACTCTTCATCTTCACTGTCTATCTGAGTCATTGTTAAGTACCTTATTTTCTAATAGTACACTTTTAATGAGGCTGTCAACTGTCAAACCGTATGAAATACTGTTTTTGCCCTGACAGGTAAACATCCTTTATGATTGGCTTTATCCTCGGTGATCACAAACAGATATATCGCACACCGTCTTCAAAACAGTCACAACTCAAAATTTGGCATTTTTGAAATTATGCGCTAAAAATGTACACAGAGCTTTTGTTTACCTTTCAGCAAAAGCTGGAGCATTTTTTTTTTAATTTGTTAAAGAACCTGAGGGAAAGTCGCCCTTACGCATATGATTAGCATGTGCAACGAAATAGTTTTTCGCAGTTTTCTGACGAACGTATTATTTTGAGTTGTGACTCTTTTGATTAGCAGTTAAGTAACAGCGTTTATTAAAATTTGTCAAACTTTAAATTGTGACGGGTGTGACCAACATTATCCGTATTTTTTTTCGAAAATAAAAGCATATAGATACTTACAAGCAATTCACACATATTCGCCTGTGTCATAGCGTTACTTTCGTCAGCTTTTTTACGCTGTCCAAGACGTGTTTTCCTTCAAATAATAACTATTTTGTGTATTTTGTGAAGGGTGTGACATTAAAATATGCTTTGCTTCATGATACATAAAGAAGGTAGTTTCATTTACAATTTTTTTACAAAAAATAAGTTTTGGAAGTTTTATAAATTGTACCAAATTACCTTGCCACATTGATAGCAATCAAACAATACATCAGAAGATTTAATGTTGTGCGTGGGAAATGTTATCTAAAACTCATTAGAAAGATTAGTATATACATTAATAAAAATCACCCTTCGCCTCCCTGCCCCTGCTACAATTTACTCGGAGCCCATTTCAAAATGGGGGTAAAATAAGCATTTACGCAAAGAAAAATAAAACTCGTGTTAGTCAATCAGCAGTATTTTTGCGCAAAACTCCTTTCCGCGCTGATGGCCTTTACAAAAAAGTGCTTATTACAAACCGGAATATTTATTTAAGATTAAAGCTTAATCCTTTGTCTAGGTGTATATGTTAAAATATTTCAATTCGGGTCACGTGCTTGGACACAAGGACTCAAAATCATTGTACAAATAAGCAGACCGTATCCGAACTGTCTTACTTATGCATTTTTCTATAAACAAAAATTTTATTAAATGAAACTTCAGTAGTTTTCATCTTATGTGGATAATTTTTGTCCCAAATTCATAGTTTCGATCTTATATTTATGTATATATATTTTTTAGCAGCGCCACATCTTTATCAGAAAATTCCGAGAATCCGAAAATTGGTACTGTTACAAGTTGCAGGGCATCATTTTAACTCGACTTCCTCCCTAATCCGCGGACAACGGTACATCGTTTAGAGGTTTAAAAGTATTTTGTGTCAGCAATTTGCCATAAAACTGCATTAGATCGTAGTACGTACTCTATCCTCGGAAAAGCAAAAAACTCTTTTTTCGAACCTTTGCACAGGTGTACCGAACTCTTGCAGTTTGGGAACGCGCAAGAATTTTCTTTTTAATGTTTTCATCCAACTTCACTAACTTCAAAAATTTTTTTTTTTTTACTTTTTCAAGAAAAAAAAAAATTGCTGCTAGTGAATCTGGTAGCATGATTTTAGTTAAATGTCATAAACTTGTTAAAAGTCAAGCGGTCGGCAACAACAACGAATATCAAAACTACCTTCTATTTTTGTATCATGCTTTGCTTCAATATAAAGGGTATTATTTTTTAGACATGTGGTTTTCAAGAAGAAATAAAATGCATATAGTTTAATGTTATGGCCAAGAATTTAGCTTTATTATAAAGATAAGGGTTTGCCATTATGCTTTAAAAATGATTTCGGGCAGTTGACCGCCGCTGCTGGTTCGAATAAATTCCAGCCGAGAGGCCCAATTTTCGACCAATTTTTGTAGCAATTGCGGCCGTATGCCAGCAATAACGCGCTGAATATTCTCTTCCAAAGCGTCAATCGTCTCGGTCTTATCTGCGTAGATAAGCGTCTTCACATAACCCCACAAAAAAAAGTCCAGCGGTGCTAAATCGCACGATCTTGGAGGCCACGGCACAGGCCCACGACGCGAGATAATGCGCTCACCAAAAGTTTCCTTTAATAAATTGATTGTTTCGTTGGCTGTATGGCATGTAGCGCCGTCTTGTTGGAACCAAAGATCGTCCACATCAACATCCTCCAATTCAAGCACGAAAAAGTCATTAATCATGGCTCTATAGCAGGGGTGGGCAAGGCCGAGGCCGAAAAGAGCCACACGTAAATTCAAAATGCTACAAAGAGCCACAAAAAAAAACAACAAACACCAAAGTTTTATTTTTAAATAAAATTATTATTAGAAATGAAAAACATTAATTTTATTATTATTCTAATGTACGTAAGATAGATATAAACGAAAAGTCAAATTATCCCTTTGGCCAAATTTTCAAAATCTAGTTTTACGTCAGTTAAAGCCGTTCGTAACAGTTCTGTTAAATGATGGTTGGTCAATTAAGAACGGTATTTTGGTACTTGGTACGGTACTTGTTTACGGAATTCAAGCAATGGCAAATCTTTATATTGCATTTCCAGTGTCTTATCTTCTTTTAATTCCAAAAACTTCCACTCTTCTTCCCTTTTCTTAAAAAGGAGTATTTCGGATATTGTTAATTCATCCTCAATTGAGTTACACAAAAAAAGGTTTATGAAGTATATAAACGTACATTTTAATTATTTCAAATCGGCAATTTTTTTTTCAAAATCTGCTTTTAAATGATGTAGTATTCATGTGCAATATTTCTTTCTAGCCATGGAAAATGATGAAATATTCTGTTTTTTAGATCATGTATAAAAAGACGTATTTTAGCTTCAAAACTTAAAATAATTGGCTACAAATCAAAAACATTTTTATTCTCTCCTTGTAGAAAATCACAAATTACGAGATTAACATACCTACACTAACACAAACACATTTCATTTACATTTAACTTACTCACTCTCACCTAACACGATATAAGACACAGCCTTACTAGGTATAACATAATTGTAATTAGTCTTAAGAGTTTAGTTCACTATTAAACGCTACTATAACCGCATCTTTGGTACTTTATTCCGATCCGGGCTCTTAATTTTACACATGGTGCCGAAACCCGGGAGCGGGCAATTAGTTTAAAATAGCGAATTTCAGTAAACTATACCGGGTGTGCATTTTATAGTGAGCTCTAGGAAAAACAAAGACGATATTCTTTAAAACAATAAATTTACATAAAACACGAGCAACCGTGGTAACCAATATTGAAGTGCCATTGTAAGGTGAAAAATGGAATCGGTCCATTGGGCTACTTGTCGTGGTCAGCTAACAAAGCTTATTAATCAAGCTACTGAGTACTTGGAAAACACAGACTTTTCCAAATTAAGTGAAAAACAAACCTTGCTTGAAAACGTGGGGACTCTCTTGCACAGGTTAAGGAATGCGCATGAAAATTTAAAAAAGGCGGACGTAGCCGCGAGAAAAATAATAAAACAGGAGGATATGGAGAAGGAATGCGAGTCAGTGCTAGACTATGACGACAAGGCGATCACAATTATTGCAAAGTTGCAATCGCGCGAAAAGAGTTTAGCAGGCCGACTTGAGCATACTATGAATACGTCCACCAATGGCGCTGGTGAGCAATCGTCTCATGGAGTTAAGCTCAAATCTCTTGAGCTGAAGAAATTCGACGGAAGCTTCGAAAAATGGTTGCCCTTCTGGGAGCAATTCAAGCCAACAGTGCATGATAACCCCCTTCTTTCATCAGCAGCAAAGTTTAACTTTTTGAGCGAAGCATTGGTTGACAGGGCTTCATCAACGATTCAAGGATTCACTCCCACAGAGGAGCCATAGCACTGCTACAAGATGAGTACAGAAATACCGAAAAGATAATCGAGAAATACGTACAAAAGCTTCTTAAATTAGAGCCAGTACAAACTACCAGCGACGTGCAGGGCTTACGATCATTATACAATCAGGTGATGTCAACTACTTGAACATAGTCCGCGTTGAAGGTCACCCCAGCTCAATACACGATCACCGTAAAATCCGTTATTCTTAAATGCTTACCTAAGCAAATGAGAATACAATTTTTTCGATTGCCTGAAACAAAGACAACAGCGATTTCGATTTTAAATAGCACGATGCGAGACATAGAAGACGACCAACTTAAAGCGATTCTCCAATATATGAAAAGAGAAATTGAGGCCATAGAGAAAGCACAGATATCAGAAGTTCCGAAAAAAAGCGAGATTAAAACTACCAACAAAACCAAGCAAGGAACAGCTACCGGCTTAGTTTCCATAACAGCGAGCGAGAAATGCATATTTTGTAACAAAGACAATCATAACGCACAGAATTGTAGAAGCACAATTAGCCTTGCCGACAAGAAGAAGGTATTGCAAAAGGAGGGACGATGTTTTCGTTGTACGAAGAAAAACCACACATCAAAATTTTGCAAAGCACATTGGGTTAAATGTAAAAACTGCGCAGGTAGACACCTAACGACGATGTGTGAACGACGTGAGAAGGGACCTGAGGGGGAGCAGAGGAATCATTACCCAAACGCAGAAGGTATTGAAAAAGAGATGAGCGACAACAGCAAAAAAGCGGCTGCATTAAGCACACTAGCGAGCGAAGGTCATTCGGAGTACTTACTGCAAACAGCGAAAGCCATCATAAGTAGCGAGAGTAATACAAAAAGGGTGTTATCAAGAATAGTGATGGACAACGGCAGTCAACGTACATTTGTGCATGAAAAGGTAGCAAAAATGCTGAAATTAAAACCGTGTGGAGTTGAAGAAACAACAATTACCGGCTTTGGCGACAAAAATAAAAACAGATTTAATACAGGCGATCGTAGTATCGAATATTTGCGCGGATTTAGTGTCAGTGGCAAACGAAATAACCGAAATAAAAAACAAAAACTGTAAACAAATAAAATACGAGTTAGCTGACGCTAATAAAAGCAGTGAACAATTATTACATGGTATTAATTTATTAATCGGACAAGATTATTATTGGAGGTTCAACACTCCAGAAACAAAACAAATTAGCAGCAACTTATTCGCGGTAAAAACATTTTTTGGGTGGAAATTACAAGGCGAAATTGATCGCGGTAAAAACGGAAAAATAGCGCTGGTATTGAATGAAAATAAACAAACGACAAAAGGTGTACAAAATGAACCAGAAGGAAATCAAGACAGACCAGAAGGAATTAGAACAAAGTGAGCATTCTGAAGCTAATAAAACTATAGAATTTGATATCAAGCAATTTTGGAATCTTGAATCAATCGGTATCGTAAATATTAATAGTTGCAAAGAAACTTCAGTGGCGCTAGCTCGGAAAGCGGACGGGCGATATTCTGTTAAATTACCGTGAAAGCTTAAGAGCGAAGATCTACGGGATAATTACCAAATAGCTGTGCGTCGATGTCAGTCCTTGACAACGAAAATGCTAAAAGATCAATCAAAAATTGTAGAATACGACAAAGAGGTTAAGAGCCTCATTGACAACGGAATTGCTGAAATTGTGCCCAATACCGAGTCTCCTAGGCCGATTTATTACATGCCGCATAAACCTGTTTATAAAGAAAATAAAAGCACAACGAAAGTGAGAATCGTTTTCGATGCGTCTTCGAGCGAATCCGGCCATATTTCGCTGAATGATCACCTTAGCGAAGGTTCTAATCTCATTGCCGACTTATTCACAATGCTACTACGTTTTAGGGCAAATCGTATCGCTGTGGTGGGCGATATAGAGAAAGCATTCCTTCAGATTTTACTGGATGAAGCCGACAGAGATACCCATCGTTTTTTATGGTACAAGTCATGTCCAAGCGCAGATCAACATAAGCCAGATCTGGCAATCTATCGTATGACTAGGGTTACATTTGGCATAACATCAAGCCCTTTCCTATTAGCTAGCACTATACGTAATCATTTCGATGAAAGTTTAAAAAGTAATAGCTTGCTGTGTGAAAAACTCAAAGCGTCGTTTTACGTAGACGATCTTATATTCAGCGAACCAACCAAAGAAGCAGCAATGCATGTTGCTAAACAAGCTCAAACCGTGATGGAAGCTGCGAAATTTAACTTAAGGAAATGGAACTCTAACGACGTGGACGTAAGGCGAGAGCTTTCTACAGAGGAAGTAGGCATGGCAGAACAAAAAATTCTTGGGTTGGCATGGTGCACAGTAAACGACAAAATTTCCGTAGATGTAAAATCTTGTAATGATTATATCCAAACACTACGAGCTACAAAACGTAACGTTTTAAAAGCAATGGCCAAAATTTACGACCCGTTGGGGCTATTGGGCCCATTCACGGTTAGAATAAAAATTCTACTGCAAGAAGTTTGGCGTCAAAAGAAAGCATGGGATGTCATAATGGATGGCGAAACTCAGAGTGCCTTTTCACAGTGGCAAGAAGAGCTTGCATTACTAGAAACTTTCTGTGTTGATCGATGTTTGTCAGCAGGCAGTGAATCGATATTGGAATTGCACATCTTTTCTGATGCGAGCCCGAAGGCGTATGGAGCAGTGGCTTATTGTCGACAAATAATGCCAACTGGACGAATTCTCACTAATATTGTGTGCTCAAAAAATCGAGTAAGCCCAATTTCCGAAAATAATAAGGAAGTAGAATTAACGTTACCTAAATTGGAGTTAACAGCAGCTTTGATGGCAGCAAGATTGAAAGAAACCCTTGTAAAAAGCTTGTGCGTTAAAATATCCGCAGTTTGTGGACGGATTCAAGTATTGCATTAAACTGGATAAATGGCTGTGGGCGAAAACCTAAACCGTATATAAAGGCAAGAGTAGCAGAAATTAACCAAATATCGAACATATATGATTGGCATCATTGTTCCGGCAAGCTTAATCCAGCGGATTTGCTAACCAGAGGTATAAAGGCGAAAAATCTGCTTGAGTCTAAGCTGGGCCAAGCTGGCTTCGAGAAAATGAAGAAAACTGGCCAGCGAAGCTTGAAATTCATAGATCATCAGTTTTGAATACTGCCAATCACATCGAGCGAAATAAGCTAGTAATTGCACCAATTACTACCATTGAAAATTATAGCAGTCTAAAAAAGCTTTTAAGAGTAACTGCATACGCATTTCGTTTTGTAAAACGTTCTAAGAGAAAGTCGACAAACCAACAGTTAAGCAATCGAAAGTGTATACAATATTGTGAAGTCGATGAAATAACGTTTGAAGAACTACAAAAAGCCGAGATGTACTGGATCGAACACACGCAGCGAAATTTAGTGCCAGATATGACGAAAAAAGCTTCCTGGAGGCGATCAGGAGGTTTACGTCGAGAAGAGGTGTACCATCTACGATCATCTCAGATAATGCAAAGACTTTTAAGCGTGCAGACTATGAGCTTAGAAAGCTTGAAGATTTGCTTAAAAGTCATGAGGTGCGGCGTTTGGCGGAACATAAAGGCGTCAAATGGCAATATATACCTGAGAGAGCAGCTTGGTGGGGCGGCTTCTGGGAGCGCCTCGTAAGGAGCGTCAAATATGCACTTAAGGCTGCTATTGGCAAAGCCAAACCTTCAGCGAACGAGTTAGCTACATTGTTGACGGAAATCGAGAGCGTAATCAACTCAAGGCCGTTAACCTACATTACAAATGATCACAACGATCTGGAGCCACTGACTCCAGCTCACTTTTTGAACAATTTTAAGCGGTGGCACAAGGATTATCTTAACCAGCTTCGATCCATACACCATTGCAAGAACGGGCCAAGTCGCAGTATTAATGAAGATGACATAGTATTCGTGTATGATGAGCTCAATTCAAGACTTTTGTGGAAAATTGGTATCGTTAGAGCTACATACATGGGCAGAGACGGTCGCATAAGAGCATGTGATGTGGAACTGGCAAATAAGCAAATTTTAAGGCGCTCTGTGCAGCATTTGTATCCGCTCGAGATTGCAACAACATTTCCCGGGGCCCAGGATGTAGAAAATCACAAAATACGAGATTAACATACATAAACTAACACAAACACATTTCATTTACATTTAACTTACTCACTCTCACCTAACACGATATAAGACACAGCCTTACTAGGTATAACATAATTGTAATTAGTCTTAAGAGTTTAGTTCACTATTAAACGCCACTATAACCGCATCTTTGGTACTTTATTCCGATCCGGGCTCCTAATTTTACACACTCCTTGTAGAGACAAATTCAAGTTTTGCAAATGTTCCATCATATCGGTAAAGAGCATTAAGTCACAAAGCCAATTTTCATTCTCCAATTGCGGGTAATGTTCCGATCTCAATTTGCGTATGTGCATATAAAAAAAAATACAATAAGAAGACAACGCAATGAAAAAAAATGTCCAGCAAAGAAATATGTATTTTAAAAAGTAAAAAGAGCCAAAATGTTCTAAGAAAAGAGGAAGTAACAACTAATTTTTAAGCAAGAAAAAATTGATTTCAATTCTTATATAAAAATGTATTACCAAAATAATCTTTATGATCTAATGATCGGATTTAAACATAATTAGTATGGGACCACCCTTGATTTACCACTTTTCCGATGAAAAAAGAATTGTAGAAATCGGTTAACGTGGTCCAAAGTAATGCCGTAACATACATAAAAAAATATATATTCCGACGAACTGATAACCTTCCTCTTTTTGTGGCGTCGGTTAAAAAGAGCCGCACTTTAGCCGCATTTGGCTCAAAGAGCCGCGTTTACCCACCGTTGCTCTATAGCGTTCCCCATCGACTGTAACATTATGGCCGGCTTCATTTTTGAAGAAATATGGACCAATGATTCCCTCTGCCCACAGAGCACACCAAACAGTGACTTTTTGAGGATGTAACGGAGTCTCAACAATGACTTGTGGATTATCAGTACTCAAAAGGCGACAATTTTGTTTATTAACGTATCCATTCAACCAAAAGTGAACTTCATCGCTGAACAAAATTTTCTTTTGAAAATCGGGATCGGTGGACATCTCGTTTTGGGCCCATTCACCGAACGTGCGACGCGCTTGATGGCTCTTGCACGAGTTGGATTTTGTAAGCCCGCAAACCAAGATCCTTCCGAAAATTCTTCCGGGTCTTCTTCGATACTCTGCTCCACAGCAGCAATAGCGTCTTTGCTACGCACTGTACGGCATTTCTAAGGATGCGCATTATCCACTAGAGTAAACGTGGTGCGAAACCGATCCATGGTTGCTCGAATTACCAACTCTGCTGCGCGATTATGTCGACCGAACATTGGACGCAGCGCGCGATGCGTCGCGCGAACCGAACCATTATTTTGGTAATAAATTTGCACGATTTGCAAACGTTGTTCCGGAGTAAGTCTGTTCATCATGAAATGGCAAACCAAACTGAGTATAAATCAAGTAACAGCTGTCAAAAAGACCAACTCCGAAAAAAGTATTGCCTCATTGAAAACCACACGTCTAAAAAACATCCTTTATAAGAAAATATGTAGTACTTGCCCGAAAAACTTTAAAATTGCACTGTTACAACGCTCAATAATTGTTCTCTCCATTGAATGTTTAAACAATGCAATAACGAGAATAGACTACGAAAGTCAGTCTTGTCAATTTTGAAGAAAATTAACCTCTCATATGGGTTTGTAAATGGTACAACCTAAAAACAATATATCTGATGTTGAGATAAATTTCGAAATTTTGGCTTTCAGTCTTGAAAGTTAGATCTATTTACTCTTACTTACTAGAAATAATACACTAAAATTCTTAAGTTTATTTTCGTTTCATTCGGTATCGATTACCGTGGAACGAGCCATATTTATTGCAGTCGTTGCGGCTGTCGGAATGGACAAAATTCCGAGCAGCAGGATCGCTGGATATCGTGCTGGGCAGGCAGTCTGAGAGGACGAGCTTCGTTTTCGGCGATTTGGGCCATATGCTTTCAACTTTATACACTTTATATATTTAGGACCATAAAAAAAATCAAATAAACATTTCTCTGTTAGAGAGATATGTATATACAGAGTATATCGGAGAGATAAAGTAGCTTTAAACGTTTTCGTCAAATTCTGATATTTCTCCCATTTGTAAAAGGGTTGAATTCATGAAATTGTTCGTGTTCCGGTATAAAGTAGTGTTGTTGTCGTGAGTTTTAGTTTTGGAGAGACTGTTTGTGTAATGATGGGGATTTGTTTTTTTGGAATTTTCGGGAGAACTACTTATTGAGTTTGTTAGTTGTTGTTGGTTTAGAGAGTAAGGTTTTTGATTTGTTTTTGTATTGGAAGTTTGATTATGTTTTTCGATTTCGTTTTGATTTTTGTATTTGTTTTTTATTTCAATTATATTTTATGCTTTTCGATTGCTTCCTTAAGAGCTTCTTTGGGAATATTTTCGGTTGTAGTTGATGGATTATGTACCAGTTTTGTTGCCTCGTTAAATGTGCATTTATTTATTACTTTTCTCATTAAAATTTCGCGTTTTTTCTCGTACTGGGAATGACTTTGTGAAAGGCATTATGCTTATGTTGGCAATTAACACGTTGTATTTTTCCGCATGAAATCGAATCGTGACTGTTGCCCGAGTGTGAAACATTTTTTGCATTTCATTGGGGGCGGAATATATGGATCAACCTTGAAGTTTAGAAATCCAATTTTCATTTCTGTTGGTACGCAAAGATTGCACGATATTATATGAAGCGACGTGTTGGTAAAGGTGCCCTCTACATTTTAATTTTTTTTTCTGAACACCAGTTACACCTTGATCGCGCAAGCCTTTAAGAATACCCTTTACCGTATTCAAAGTAGGATGCAATATGGTAGTGACCGGACAAACATTGGAAAGATTTGTGGCTTTTAGGAACCGAGTTGTGTGAGCAGAGCTTTTTGTGAGGATTAACAAGTCGCCGTCTCTTGTGAATGAAATCCGATTAGGAAAAATATTGAAACTCTGAATTGGTTTATTTTAAATTTTGCTTTTCATTAGATTATATTTTGGGCATTGGTTTTTATTTTCGATTTACACAGCCGATATTCGGAAAATCGTCTTTATTAGTTAGATCGTAGCTAAAGTTTTTCTTTCTTTTTACTGGTCCTGGATCGGGATCCGGATCCAGCGATGCGAAGTAATTTCGTCCTGAGTTGGAGGTCATATTTACTAAGTACTTAAGAAAAACAAACGAGAAATGTGGTTATTGAATATTTAACACACGTGTAAGAAGAGCGAATAATAAGAATAGCGATAGTAGTCAAACACGAGCGCTTTCAATGAATGCAAGGTGTCAACTCGATAAGAATTTTAAACTCGTATAAAGGCTGGTTTTCACTATGTCAAATTCAATGGCATTTTTCGTCAAATAAGTGAAAACACATTGTCAAATGGAACTAAAAAACGGCCTTTCGATTGATTTAGATTAGAATTCGTGTCAAATGTTGAGAAACAACTTAAAAAAAAACGTTACAAATATGAAAGAACAACATAATTTTCTCGATTACTGATGACGTCCAACCAATCTTTTTTAATATTATTCAGGCTCACGAAAATGTGTGTTCCTTATGCTAAAAAATTACCTAACATGTTAAAAAAAATTTAGAAGGTCGCACATCTACATTTTAAAAACAAAATGTTATTTCTATAGGATTTTACTTATTTTAAAAAGGACAGCAGCAGAAAAGGTTAATTGCAGTGAAGTAATGTCTGAAATAAACATTATTTGAGATAAATGATTTGCAAACAAATATATTATTAAATTAGTTAATATTTTATTTTCCGATATGCTACTTTAAGCGAAACAGCTGTTCTCTA